CAGCTCTAATATTATTTTTTAATCCCCTTGAAACACTTGCTTAAAACTTGATTTTCTGCAATCAATTTATAATGGAAAAACCTGAACTGCAAGATGAAATCACTGGACAGTCTCTTTTTAAAAAACATTTTATTAAAATTCAGTTTTGTATAAAATAGTCATTGACTTGCGTATTTTCTAATAACCCATTAACAGAAGTTTCAAATCAAGCTTTAAAACGTGTTATTAACCATCTACCCAGCCATTTGAAAGATACATGCCTGTGATAAGAGTATTGTATTGCCATTAACCTGTGGGATGGTTCGAGACATCTCTTCTTCACACAAAACTCTAAATGCATCTAATTAAAGCCACGAGATCAGCTGTCCATATTAATCACTCACCAGTTTAATTAAGGTAAACCAGCTTGTCAGAAAGCCAGTCTTCTCTCTATTCTTCACCATTATCGACTTTTAATAGTTCACTGGATTAGTAATTACTTGTTTATGGCCTTATCAAATACCTGGGAGAGAAAACCACAGGATGTGCCCAGGAACTGCTTTAGGCCAGCTCTGGCTTGGGACACAAGCGGAAATCTACCCCATCAGATAAAGTTTTCTAAAAAGCCCTACAAAGTGATTTAGACACAAGTACAACCCAGCAGAGAAACACACTGAGCTACAAGTATCTTAACAAGAGATTCAGACCTGGAAGCTCATTTTGTGGTTACTCCGATTAACGCAGGCGTTTTGAACACTAAGCTAGGGAAAAGGAAGCTGGTGAGATCTCTTGCTCACTTGTAAAAGCCGCATCTGTCAGAGTGCGCACGAGTGGGCAGGCACGTACAGTGCCTCTCCATGAAGAAAGTTACAAGTCCCACAATTCAACGTTTTCTACAGGATCAACTCCTTTCCTAAGTCATTCGGGGTACAGATACGGAAGGGAGCAAGCCTCTTCCTCGCTGTTCAAGCATGCTCACCCCGGGAGTAAACCCCAGACAGTAACAGCTCATTTCAACACAATGCAGCAGCTGAGGAATGACGGTCCTTGCCAACCCACTGGCAGTCCTGCCTGGCAAGCTCCTGGCATCTCTGAGACGCCATCATCATCATCTTAGCGTTTCGCCGAATGTTCCCCATCCACTTTGGCTCCGTTCAGCTTCTGGAGGTTGTGGTGATCACAGGCAAAACTGATCATTGCGGGCTGTTGCGACATACAACGAAAATACAGGGGAGAAGAGAGCCCGAGAGTGGAGGAAAAAAGGGATTATGTATATTCCTAATTCTCCTTAGGCATACCTGCTGCCATCAATGATGAACATTTGTTCTGGGAAGAGCTGCTACCAGTGGAACGCTTAGCATATGAACACTAACCTAATTCCTGTTGGAAATAACCCAATTTCCACTCCCTCCTTTACTAGAGGAGTATTTCAACCTAATAATAAAATCTCCACTGTAGCATGTCAGACCAGCAGCTCCCTGGTAGCAAGCTGGAATTTTAAGTCTTAATGCTGCAGTATCAGCTGTAATGAATTCTACGTAAACATGACTTCTAAAAATAAAAAGCCTTTTTCTTGCCTTAAAACCATATATGAAGGAGAGTTTAAAAGCAAAGGAGATGGGGTCTAGCCTCTCACCACTGTCAGTAATGAGGATACTTCTGAAACAGTTTAACTATTCCCATCCACTGCAACCCAAATAAAAATATTTCACTGGCATTATTCAGCTCAGCTTTACATTACCATTCAACATAGGCCACCACAATAAAAACTGTAACTGCTTATAAAGCAAGTGAAGAATATGAGAAAAGGCAAAGTGGGATAAACAGACAAAACAGAATTAAATCCTGAATAGTCGTAAAATTCCAGCAGCACCACATGGTGAATTCCACTGAATACCAAGACCTGGACAAGAAAATTGGTTTTCCACAGGAAAAACAAATTCATTAAAAAAATTTGCATTATAATCTATAACAAAAGAGTATAGCTACTTATTCTGTTATCATTAACTTGTGCACATTCATCAGATCTCGTTCATTTTTACTTGCTTAATTTCACACTGAAATACACAGGAAGTTGGTTTCCAGTGTCTTTCTTTATGTGAATGTTTGCCTTTAATAAACCATAAGCAGTAATCAAAATAAACTAGTCATTATAAAATGTTGTTTGGAAAAATCAAAGCGATACTAAAAAAGTTCGGATCTAAATTTAAATACAAAGAAAAAAGCACCCGTTGAAATGTACGCATATATTTTCCAATAAGTATTATGCACAGAGGTCAGAGTTTCTGAGCAACATCAGGTCCAGCAACCAGAGACGTGGCTGACGATTGCTCCCGAAGACCCAGCTCCTTTTCTACATTTTATATATATATGTACATCCGCACACGCAATCACACACGCACACAAAAGCGCTGCACAGTTATGACCCATCTGAAAGAAAACACATTCACTGTATTGTCAGCGCTCTATTGTAATGCACTCTACCCTTTCTGAATGCGATGTTCAGCTTCAGCTTACCACCCTGACAAATAAAGGAAAGCACTTTATGAAACCAATTTAATTGGGAGGTGACAGAAAACATACAGCCATTTTCTTTAGCCTTATCACTGAATTGGCTTCAGCTCCAATCTCTGCCAAATCCCACTCAACAGCAGACATTAACCAGGTCAGCGGAACAGGTGCTGCGCCGTGTCTGGCAAGGGGCTGGCATCCCCACAATTACTTGCACACAATGAAGCAGTAATCTTTACAGATCATCTCTCCCAAGAAGCATATTGGGGATGGGAGGAGAGGAGAAGGGTGGAAGGGAGGGAGGGAAGGAGGGAGGAAAGGATTAAAAAAAAACCACAAAACACCAAGCAGGAAAGGAAAATGAATGTGTAGCTGCCTCACGGCTCAGCAGATGTCTGTGCGTGATGTACGAGGCTGGGATAAGCTGTCGTAGCCCGCTGCCAGAGAGTGGTAAGTGATTAAAGCCTCCACCGGGCTAAGCACCATATTTAGAGTCTATGGGGTTTCGAAAGTTGCACCCATTCCTTGCTGTGCTGCCAGATGTTGTTGGCTGGTCCCGCTCCCATTCACTGTGCGCGGGAGGCAGCAGTTGGTAGAGCAAGGAATGCAATCTGGAACGTTTCCGGAGGTGCCGTACATTAAACCGGTGTCACCCATCCTTCACCTCTACCGAACGCTGAAACAACTCCAATTTGCTGCCACTTGCCTCTTGGGAAATGGCCAAGATACAGTTGTGCCTGGCAGACCCATTTGTTTTACTCAGGTGATTCTCTTCCCTCAATGACCTCTATTAGTTTAAGTTTTAATTTAGATTAACCCCAGCACCCCAATTAACCAGTGAGGGGAAAAGCTAAGCTGTGACTAGTCATATTTCTGAAATCACAATTTATTGAAGTTAAAGTTATTAGAAGGAAAGATGGGCCATTCATCTATTGCTATTGTTCTTTTAAAAATTTAACATTTCATGGCCAATGAGTACCTTCTCTGCACAGCTCCACGGACTGTCAATCACAGCTATTTCTCCTCGACCACCTCACAATTTTGTTACACTAACTTAATTTGTTCTGTGTTCTTAGGGTCCACCTGGCCCCCAAAGCTGGGCTTCTGGTCCACTTGGACCCCATATTCCACCTCAGTATTATTTCACTGCGTTACAGCTTTGGCCTCTTCAACCACTGCCGCCAACAAGACAGGCGCTCTGTGATGGGGATTTCAGAGCCGACACAGACGAAGCCGGCACCTTCGCCTGCCCAAGAGATGCTGCTCAATTCACAGCAACACTCACAGAGATGCTCTCACAATAAATACACAGCCTGGAGAGGAGCCAGCTCAGAATATAACCCTGCCTCTGAGGCAGGCTGCCCTGAGTAGATCCCTCACAAACATTAAAGATTCAAATTTTCCTAATTCTGCACTAGGTGAGGTCTACTGCAAAAACTTTCTTGGACATCTACAGCAGTAGGTTTGGAAGTGTGTTGAAAACCTTCTTGGAGGGGGATAAAAAGGCAGCATTCAAGTCCTCTGTATTTCTTATCCGTAAAACAGATAAGAATTACCAATTTAATACATCTTTTTATTCACCTTTAGTCCTGGCTCTGTACACGAAACCCCAAATTTTGAAAGTATTTAAATGCTTCTGGTTAAATCAGTTACCAGAGCACAGTCACATGGCAACAGCTCTCTTCCACTGCCCTAACACTTTACTATCCACTCTAGTAACTATTCAGATCAGAAATTTCTGCCTTTCTAATGATCTAATGATACTTGTTTCATCCTGAAGTTAAAGTTCTCTGCGGATCATGAGAGTAAAACTAGTTTTTCATGCACTTGGGCAGGACTTACAGTGAATCATACTCCTCAATATATGGCAATTCCAGTATTTCCTAAAGCTGGCATTGTCATTTATTAAATAAGTTACAAACACAAGGTTTCCCTAAGCTGCAGCCTCCATGCCCTGGGTGCAGATACTGGTTCTAAGAATTTTGCAAATACAAAGACTAACTGGCCTACATCCAAGCTGGCACAACTCCAAGAAAAGTGCTAGAGCAGCCCTGCAGCTTTTTCATTCGGTAGGTAGAGGAGATGATTTAGGTTGAGATGAGAGTAACTTCAGTATTTTTGAGGATCTACTAGAATCGTTTTTCGTAATGGGACTCTACCCACAGAGAACAGTCACCTTCAGAGAATTCAGTAATTTTCCTCTTGTGTAGCAATGTTCAGCAGCGAGAACAGGCACAGACCCTAGCCTGCAGCCCTGACTCGCTAAGCACAGCAGCGCCAGTAACAGCAGCAAAGCTTACATCCACCATGCAAGTCTGAGCTCACACAGCCCTGTATCGAAAGTTGAGAGTGACGTCCTCTGAGGTATCTACAGAGATATTGGATGTTAAAACAGGTAACTGAGTTTCACTGGTAAGAGAAACTTCGAGCACCGAACTGACCGCATCAGCTCTGCAAGTGTTAAAAACCAACATGAGCCGCAATTCCAATGCAGATTTACAATTACCTACCTGGTGATAAAAGTCATCATCATCAAATATCTCCTCATCTATGTCCTTCAGGTGCTTGTTGGAATCTGACTGAGGGAGGACTTCCTAGAAGCGCAAAGGAAATACTGAGAGCTCGTAAGTGCGTACCTCTGTCCCTAACTCTGACAACATCACGTGCAGCAGCTTGAAAACACACTCGAAGATATGAAGGAATGGAGAAAAGCTCCAAACATAACAAGCTTTTAAGGACTAGGAATACACTTAAAGGCAAGGCAGAAATGCTGCCAACGCCAAAACAGATTTATGATACCCTTACTGGGAAATAAATAGGATTGTGCAAAGTCTTTCTGGCAAAATACTACAGATATTTTTAACGTAATGGCAAAAATATATCTTGCAAGCACAGTAATTCTACAGGATCTCTCAGAATTGAGTATTTATTCATTCTTAAATACTAAATTAATAACAGACTTACTACTAACATATTCTGTAGGTTATATGCAGTATGATTTTAGAAGTGACTTTCTGGGTTAAAGATTCTAAACTCCAGAGTTTTGTAGCTTCTACCTCAAAAAGCGGATTTAGTGAGCATCACTTCCCACAGCAGAGGAGAGGCACAATCACAGACCAAAGTTTGTTTGCCCCTGTCAAGAGCCGGCACAGGAGATCATGCAAACACCAGAAAACTGCAAGTGAAACATCTACGTCTTTTTGTTCGCCATTACATTACAGGAATCAACGCTCAGATCTCCTTCATAAACCTCTCACAAACAAGACTATCACCTGCGGGAGGCTCGAGCTGTCTGTCTTGCGGGGAGTTTCACTGCTGCTACAGGGTGAGTTACATAAACAAAATACCCTTACCGAATTATCAGGCAAAGATTCAGGCACCGGAGGAGCTTTCTGTTCCTGCTTTCCCAGCACTGTATACACTGATCGCTTGGTCTGTGTCCGCCGTAGCAATCTCTCTTTGTCCATCATAATATGATCAATCTGAGTCAAGATTGAACGCTCAAAGGCACCGAAACCCTGCAACAACATTAACTAGTGTCAGATAATGCAGAAAGCCTTTCCTCAAGGCAGCAGTGTTCCTCTGTCTTTCCATGTCAGCGGATAAGCAGACAGCATTCCAAGAGGAGGGGGTTTGGGTTTCGTTGCAGGGATTTCTGCTAGGATTTTTATTTGTTTCTCCCTCTCTCTCCCTTTTCAACCTGAGGCAACCTGATGCCTGGCTTAATAGAATGCCTTTGCTGTTCTGGCTCAGATGAACTTCCCAATGATTAATACTAACTCAGAGATGTTAGGAGACCCTGGATCTTCGGGTGAAATGATTACCCATTGTATTAAAGTGTACACTTCATGGAGGAGGAGAGTCACAGAAGCCCCTGTTATAAAACACAAACAGCTTGTGGCTCAGCAATAGCTGCATCTTCAGAGAGCTTACTCGCTGCTGGAGTCTGGCTACGATGAGATGCCTGTTTGGAAGAACACCAATACTACCCAAGAGTTTTTCCCAAAACTCGGGAAATCATTTGCCCCTGAAAATCTTTTTCCTGCCCATTTGCTCAAAACAAAAGAGACCAGCTTATGCCTTTGAAATCTGAGGGCTGAGCTTCATTCCAAACTCCTTTAAGGTTGGGGAAAAGTGTATACCTGTGCATTTCATTCTTCCTGCTGTAACTCTCTGCCTAACTTGGAACATTCATGATATGAGCCTTTCAAATCAACTTGTTCCACCAATCTCTGCTAAACGATAAGCATGTCAGCACACACAAACAAGGACTTGCCTTTCCTATTTTGCCAGATGCCAGCTTTGTCTTTTCATGCCACTTCTGCAAGACGTTGTTCCGGTACGTCCTGAAGTCAGCATACCGCTTGGCTATGAAATCTGCGTATTCGTCCAACGTCAGCTTTCGTTTGGGGAGGCTCCTCCTCTTCTGCTGAGCTTTATCCACTTGCTCTTCATCACTACTGCTAGGGATTTCATCATCGCTACAACAAAAATATGCAGACTTTAGTCTACCCTACACCTCTCTAAGGCAACGTATATGAATTCTTAATGGCCCCTCCACTACCACCCACGCTTTTTCCACACCGTGGTGCGATTTCTGGCAAAGACCCATGGTTTAGCCCCTCCTCCATTATCAGAAAGATTACAAAACAGCCTTCCCACACTGGCAGCAGGCATTCAAATGCTCATTTGTCCAGAGTGTGTCTCACCCAGATACAGCAGCAACTGAGAGAACAGCAGAGAGTGAGTATGGTCAGGAAGGCTGTGCATTGTCCTGTTTGTTGGAGAGTTGGAGACCAAAGGATTTGGGAAGGTCTTGTCTTATTTTGTATTTACCTCTCAGTTTTTGATTGCTTTCCATCTACCAGATGCCTCGTGCCTGGGTATTGATAAAGCAGCTCATCTTGAAGGTCCACTAATACTTTCAGCAATGCCTCCAGGCTTTTACAACCTGCAGAACAAGAGACACAAGTGGCAATTTCCCACTGATCCTTGCTTCTGGTGAAGACTTAGCTTTGCAGTGCTTAGTTTCTCATCTTCTGAATCTCTGCCACAGCTACTGCATGTCCCATTAACTGTTTTTCTCTAATCAGAGATATGGTTTTATCTTCAAAGTGATTTATAGCTGTTAATGTCAACCACCACCACGCTGGGAAAGAAAACACTTCTTTCTACAAAGGGAGGAAAGGAGGCAGGACTGCCTTCTAAACATCTGCCTGGCTGCACATCGGGAGGATACTGATCTAATGTTTCATCGACAAACATTCAGACTGCAGAGCCTAAAGGATTAACATATTGAAGAAGCAAGTATTGTGTGCAGAAGTGTCTGATGACACATGCATATGACAACAACCTTTTTTGCTGACTAACTCATTTCTTTCCTGTGTGAAGTTCTGCAGCACAGGCCAGCTTCAGCTGAATATGAAGCAACACAAGGGAAAATGTATACATATACATCCCGTCTAAACGTGACCTCCGACTTTTCTTTCTTTACATAATGTGCATGTTATAGGGAGCAGAAGGAGGGAGAGCAAGAAAAAAAAACGAACTCCTGCAGGGCTGTGACTACTGCTGGTTTCTATGCCGCTGTGCTCACCACGCAGGAGGTATAAGATTGTAACTAAAAATAAATGTAGCAAGATCTGATCTATGGGGAAAACTTAAACAATGACCTAGCAAGTTTAATGAGAGGATTCTGATCAGAAAAGCAGAACTGCAGGTCCAGAGACCCTTAGAAAGAGAGCAAGTGAAGAAAAGATTGGGGTGGAGAGGTGTACCAAATGATCAATACATGGTGTGGAGGTTAGTTTTAGGGGGATGAGTAGTTGCTTTCTAGGGTATTTGCAGACACAAATCCTGAATGTAGATCTGATGCTATGTATCCAAAGGCTCTCAGAGCTGACAGTTCTCCTGTATCTATGCAGATGTTCTGTCCCAATGCTCTTCTGCTCTCCAAGGACACACAGTTGCAGCTGACTGTGGGAAGCGTTAACCACACACTGTTGCAGCATCTGTTCTTTAAAAATAGTTCTTTTGTGGCAAGCAACAAGCCTCCCTGCAGAACGCTCCGATATAAAACAAGTGTTTGTCTAGGCCTACACAAACGCTCCCTGGTACACTGCTACACATCAATCACAGGGTAGGCTCTTAGGGGTAAAAAAACACTGAGCATGCTTCTATCCAAAAACCTAACCTGAACTTTACACAGATTAATTCATACTTACCTGACACTGGTGTATTATTGCCTTCTACTTTTACAAAGTGGCACCACAGAAAGGGGAAAAAATGCACCGCTTGGAGGAATACAGCACACTACCCTGGGACCTGTTTTCTTGCAGGATACATTCCTGCAGGCTTGGCTTCCCTCCCCACGCACCCAGAACAAGCACCCTCCTGGGCAGCAGTAACCCTGGCTGACAGAGCACGCGGATTTGGCAGGAGGGCAAGAGGAGCACTGCAGTGGTGGGACATTTCCCAGAGCTTGCCCTGGTATCTCCTCTGCCAGTTCCTCCAACGACGTGAAGCCAGTGGGGCTCTTTTGCTTTACTCCCAAACCTGTTTTCTTTTGAGTTACCATAACAGAACAGAGGGAACTTTTCACCACTTTTTAGAAAAAAAACAAAAAATGGAGGACACAGAGATCATGGGTAGAGTGAACAGCAAATCTTCATCAGCCAGACAGAGACAGTGCAAGCAGAAATCAGCCCAGACATTCAGAGGTCTCCATCTCCCGCATGTTACCACTGTGATATTGCTCAGTTGTCACCATCTTCAGATAAATTACAGCCTGACCTCAGTAACAGGAATGTCAAGGAGAAGATGCTTTAAGATTTTTATTGCAGATCAGCTGTTGGAGTCATCCTCCCTCGGTCTGCAGTTCATTATAGATACATTTTGACAACTCTTCTCTATAAACCTATTAACAGATTAGGTGTGCCGTAGTTGTAAAACAGTCGTGTGTTAGCATCAGAACAATTCCAAGACACAAACAGACAAAAGCCCACAAAAATGCATTTGTTGTATGTGTCTGCAGCTAAAGCATCACTTGCAAAAGCAAAGTGCCCCCACCCTAGCCTGAGTGCACAGCTTACAACAGCAAAATCTTTCCTGCTGCCTGCAACACAGCTAAATGTCCCCAGAGCTTCCGAAACTGTTTATTTTCTACCCGCTGCCTGTCCTCCAGCAGCAGTGCTAATGCACCCCAGGCGGCTTTGATCCTGTCAATTACAACTGGAGTAGCACTCCAGCTCTTCTGGGGTATATCAGGGCCACGGCAAGCAGGCAAGGAATAAAGACAGGCTCAAGCTCCCCCAGGCTATGAGATATGGACCCCAGCAGAAGTGGGGATGGGGAGCAATTTCATTTGGAGTGAAGGGGATGGCGAGGGCAGGGAAGACAATGACCGTGCGTCTAACCAGGTGGGAGGGCTAATTATTCCAGACAGTGGCTTCATCATGAGCCTCTTACAGCTGGGTAATTTCCGTGCTTTCAGTTCTTCTGTATTTAATAGCATTATTGGATGGCATTCTCATTGTTACTGTTGGGTGTTTAAGTGTGCTGTAAACTCAACTTCAGAAGCCAAGTGCCACCCTCCCCTGCCCTCCTCCCATCCAGCCCTGCCCTATCCTTTTCACGTTTAATTCCAGAAGGGACTGTTTTCTTCCCAGTCTCCTCTCCCTCTTCATCTCCTCTTCCCTCTAATGCCCTCATCTGCCTTTACACCGTCTGCTTTGGGGAAAAGACTGAATCCATTTGTGAATGAAGGCAGCATAAAACACAACCATTTCACAGAGGCAAACTGAGTCATTCTGAAGGAAAGCTGGACGCTAACCCTCCTGCTCTCCTACCCCCTCCCGCACATTGTTTTTAATGCTGCTCCTCGACCGAAACAGACAATTAAACAGAAAGCTGGACGCTAACCCTCCTGCTCTCCTTCCCGCACATTTTTTTTAATGCTGCTCCTTGACCAAAACAGACAATTAAACAGAAAAAAGAGTCACAAACATAGAGCTTTCAAGCATGCCAGCACATTAAGGCAACCAGCTAGCAGCTTTCACATGTGATACCCACCAGGTCTGTACCTCCTGCTCCCTTCCCTGCTCTGTTTGCAGAACAAAGCCAGCAATACCTCTAGGAGCACAGGCAATGCCAGCCCTGACCATGCAGCAGGGGCCTCCCACCGCCACGAGCTGCGTTAGGTCCTAGGCAGTCCCTGATGATTTTCAGTTTCTAATGCTTTCAGGATCAAGAAGATACCAACACTACGCTTTTCACAAGCACCACAACCTGGCCAAGGCTGAAAGCAAGCTGTTAAAGCTCTGTGACTACCCTCCCACCTCTCATGAACAGGATGATCCTGATGCCAACAGCTTACTCCCTGAGCTGTTACACTAACTCTGCCACCAGTACCACCTCGGGGTGTTGCTCTGCTGTGTTCAGCCAACTACGGATGCTGACACATCCCCGGCTGTTCCCTCCACCAGGCAGTGGTCAGTGACTGCAGGCACAGCGCTGCGAAAGCGGCCGTAAGTTGTGGTAGGTAAAGCTCTCCTGACCTGACTCTGCAGGCACAGCCTGTCGCCCCACAACCCCAGCCTGTGCCTCTCCAACTCCTTCTCTCCTACTCTCTGCTGGCAGCTTTGCTGCCTCTCTCTTACAATCTGCACTGCAATGCACTGGGGTAAATATTCTACCTTAGATTGACACCAGCTGACAACTTCAACACTGGGCCACGCATCCTTAGTGAGAAAAATCTCAGAACTATCTCCTTTTCCAGGATTTACTTCTACATGTCCAACCCACGGTTTTTGAGCACAGGTGGCTCAGCCTTAAAAACAAAAGAAGCTGGATCCCTTTACAGCATTTCAGTGTAAGCAAGTAAAATCCCCAAAACAACGACCCATACTCTGTGTGTAGGAGAGGGCAACTAACCCCAGGACAACACGCAACCCCTCCTTCCATTAAACCTTTTCACAGCTGCCCTTTGGGAAAGAAAAAAAAACATGCCGAGTGGGATCCATCTGCAGCTGCTCCAAGAACATAGCAAACGTGGTTTGAATATAACTTCCAGCTTAAACGGGACTCAGAGTGTCTGTGGTCAGATGCTAACTTGTAAGAGTCACTTTTAAGAGTCCATGGGAGCCCCTTCATTTTGTGTAGAGGAGTGAAAAAGTTGTTCCAGATCCAGCAGACAGCATATCAATCCACCAAGAAAGCTGGGAGCCAGTATCAGTAAATCAAAGTGTGCCTCTCTGTTAATACTCTCTCATTTTATACATCCCTTCACCCAGTCAGAAAGTAGCCCTGGAGTATTTAGCTCCATTCAGGGATAGCACTGCCATGTATCAAAGTGTCAGGAGACCCACCAGAGATGAAATCTGTCCTACTGCTCTCAAACCACAAAAATCAATTTTGTCAATGCCAGTGGTTACGGAGAAGCTGGCTGTGCTGCTGGCGTCCCGCTCCGCGTGGGGCGGCTCCTCCCCACGCCGCGCTCGCCCCACCAGCCCTCTCCGCACGCAGACAGCCCCGCCCCCGCCCCACCAGCCCTCTCCGCACGCAGACAGCGGCCGTGTCTTCGCTGAAACCCCAGCACTGCCGCGCCGGGGACGTGCAGGCGTGATGGCTTCTGTGCTCACCCATCGCTGTAAGGTCAGCATTTCTACAGCAAGGCAGCTTCCTGCACAGAAAAATATCTGCGCTCTTTTTCGTGACCTCTAAAAATGGGGTCTCATTTCATCTTCCCAAGCAGCTGCCGAGAGCAGCAGCTGGTGTGGAGCAGCAGGGAGCGGCCTCACGCAGAGACATTTTAGTCGATGGAAAAAAGCCGGTGCCTCAAGGCCAGGCTTTCAAAGGTATTCACAGAGAGCCAACCAGTAGGATTCCCAAAACCGCTCCACCAGGCAAGCACCTCCTCGCCTGCCCCCAGGGCATCCACCCAGCCGATTCGGA